TTTTCTTTTAAAGGGGGGGTTTTTTTACCAAGAGAAAAAAAAAAAAAAGGGGGAAAAAAGGGAAAAGGGGAAAGGGGAAGGGGGGGGAAAAAAGAGGGAAAAAAACCCCCAAAAAAAAAAGGGGGGAAAATTTCCCTTTTTTTTTTACCCCCCGGGCCCTCCCCCATTATTTTTTTTCCTTCCCCCCCTTTAAAAGGGAAAACCCCCAAAAAAAACCCCCAGAGAAGAAACTTTAAAAAGGGGAAAAAAAGGGGGAAATTAAAAAAATTTTAAAAAAAAGGTCTTTTTTTTTTAAAATTTTTTTAAAAAGGTTCAAATTTTTAAAAGATTTCCTATCTCCTCTCTTCTCTACTTTTTTTCCTTCCAACCTTTGCCTGTAATTTATCTCAGCGGTGAGCTTACGAATGCTGGGGGTTTTAGTTAAAATTTTTTTTTTTTTTTAGGAAAATTGTTTAGAAAAAAAATTGAAATTTAAAAAGATGGGAAATTTAAAAGTCGCAAAAATTTCTCCTACTCTTTTCCTCTCCTCTTCTTTTCCATCCTTCTTCTTCTTTTCCCTCTCTGTAACCACCATCAGTCCCTGGAGAATGCCTAGAGACCCAGAGCACCAACAAATCCTCACCCTACAACCAATACCGGGGCCGGGCCCTTTCCTAAACCCCTCCCTGCTTCAGGGCATTGGACCCCGCCGTCATGGGGGGCTTCGCCAAGTACGAGAAGGTCAGAGTTCGTCCATCCAGCCAAACCTACCTGCATGCCTCAACCCCATCCCAGGACTGTGTCATCTATAAAAGTACAGCATATTTCTATCCCTCTCCTCTCTACAGGCTTTCTTCACTGAGGAGTACAACTTGCAACACCCAGAGGACAGAGATAAACTGGATCGCCTGAAAGACCTCATCGCATGGCAGGTACTGTACGCACACACACACACACACACACACACACATACACACACAGGCACGTGCACCGACACATGTACAAGCATACACACAAACACTTGTTTACGTCTCTTGTAGATCCCGTTGCTGGGTGGAGGAATCTCTCTACATGGGAAGAGAGTGACAGACGACCTACGACCTTTCCACGAGCGCATGGAGGAGTGCTTCAAGCATATGAGGAAGAAGGTGGAGAAGGAGTATGGAGTGAGGGAGCTGGTAAGAGAAAGAGTGAAATGGAAGGAGAAAAGGAGAGTGTTTGTGTGAGGCCTGATAGGCTAGCTGAAGGGAGATAGTATCTGGGCAGAGGATAATTTCTATCTGAAAAAATATTTTATGAAAAGAGCTGTAGGAATGATACTAGCTTAACTCCTGTTTGTGAAAAGCATTGTATTAACTCTCTCTTTATCGCTCTCTTTCATCCAACTTCCCCTTTGATCTTTTGTCTCATTTTTCTCCATCCCTCTCTTTTCCCTCTTTGCCATGCCTCGTTCATAGCCGGATATGGATGAGAGGAAGTCAACTCGTCCGCGCTCTGTCCTTCGCTCCTTCCGTCAGTCCATCATCTCCATCTCTTCCCTACAGGGGTCTGAGTGTGGGACCCCCACCAAGCCTTACCCAGACAGGTAACACACACTCACAAACACACACACACTCACATTTTAAATACTTTATTTGAAGCCGCCAATCAAAATGACATTAAAAAAGGATCCAAACATTTCAAAGGTCCCTGTATGCATGACACTCAAGGGTACAGAAAGCATCTCCTTCTCCAAACAGCTAGGCTGCCCACGACAGCTGAAACAGAGCAGTACCTAGCCAACTGCTTCGCCCTAGTTTTTGTCAGGCCCGCAATCTGGAGTCCATGCACTGCAAGCCTGTGTACGTGGCCGAGACTGCCAAATATCAGTGCCACCAGCTTGCACCTACACTCGAGGCTGTCCAAGCGTGCCACGAGGGGCTGGTATGTAAGAAACTTGTCGACAAAGGCCTGCTCCATGTAGCCATCAAATGAGCAACCCACTTTCAAAATGAGCACCTCCCCCTGGCCTCCCCCCACAACAGCAACATTTGGCGTATTTGGCACACAGGAAAACACATTATCATCAAACCAGCTTCCTCTTACACAAGAATGTTTATGGAGGTGTGCTGTTGGTGAGACTACCTGTCTCACCTCGCTGACTATCAGGTCGACAAGGTGATCGTGTCTAGCAATGTACAAATCCTTGTATAAACAGCAACCATTCCCAATATGGGAAACAGACTCACAGACACACACACACACACAGATGCAAATCCACACACATGGATGCAAACATGCAACCATACTGTATACACAAACACACACCTTACCCCCCTCTCTCTCCCTCTTCTTTCTCCCCCCACCCTCCCTCCCCAGTGGTCTCCCTGATACGGCGGCCCCCCAGACCCCCACCCTGCAGCGCTCCAGTGGCAGTGTGAGCATGGGGGACGAGGGAGGGGCAGAGGGGGAGGTGAAACTCCGGAACTCCAAGAAGAGAAGGAAAAGGAGCAGCATGATCTTCATCCCAGAGGAGAGAGACAGGACCAACACACTGGACAGCAAACGGGTGAGAGAGAGTGAGAGAGAGAGAGAGAGGGAGGAGGGGGAGAAAGGGAGAGAGAGAGAGAGGCAGAGGAGAGGGGGAGAGAGGAGAGAAGGTGGAGGAGAGGGGCGACAGACGAGAGGAGAGAAAGGAGAGAGCGGGGAGAGAGAAGAGAGAGAACAGGGTGGAGAGGAGGGGAGAGTGAGATGAGAGAGAGAGCGAGAGAGGAGGAGAGAGACCTCGAGACGACGGAGGGAGGGACGCTGAGACGAGAGAGCAGACAGGAGAGGAGAGTTTAGGAAGAGGAACTGAAAGCGAGAGGAGACGGCAGGCTGTAGGAGACGAGAGAGAGGAGAGGAGAGAGAAGAAAAGGTAGGGAGAGAGAGAGGATGTTGGGGGAGATAGAAGCCGATAAGTGCAATGTTGTTTTACAGGGTCAGCCACTGTTTCAAAGAAAACCTTTCAAAACAAAGAGGAAAAAATAGGAGAGTATTTGGACATCAGTAGAGGGGAGGACCATCCTCTTCAGTGAATTTCATTTAAATAATTGATTAAAACACACTATTTTGTAAAGAAGGTCTACAGTAGCCTCAAGAGCACTCTGTAGGGTAGCGACATGGTGTATTCGGAGGACAGCAAGCTTCCGTCCTCCTCTGGGTACATTGACTTCAATACAAAAGCTAGGATGCTCATGGTTCTCACCCCCTTCCATAGACTAACACAGTAATTATAACAACTTCCGGAGGACGTCCTCCAACATACCAGAGTAAAAAAAAAGCTTAATTCAATTGTTGCCAGCACTACAGTTACAGTCACCAATGCTCTGGATAACATGAAAACAGCCTAACCAGCACTGCTAGGGTGAGTAAAATGGTCAGAGTGAGGTGTTCTCTCATTTGTGTCTGGAAGTAGCTAGCAAGCTAGCCAATGTTAGCCAGTTAGCTTGGGTGCTTGACTGCCATTGTGAGGTCAGAACGCTCAGATCAACCCTACTCCTCCACCAGAGCGTCCAGTGTGCGCTCTGAATGCTCAGAGACCAAAACGCTCTGAATTTATGAACAGACAATCTGACAATCTGACAATGCTCTGAATTTACGAACGCCCAGAGCAAACTCTGAGTGCACTCTGGCACTCCAGATTGAATTGACGATGTGGGCTGTGTGTAGCAGTTTGGCTTGGAAATCTTTTTTCGTCTGGTCACATACAGCTGATGTGTTGTGCATTGAAGTCCACAAGCGAAGGGAAGAGGTGAGAGGAGGAGAGTGCATAGATGCGAGAAGGAATACAATGTGGCTGTGTGTTTACGCGTGATCAGGGGTATATTCATTCCGCCGATTCTGTTGTAAAACGTTTCTTAAACGGAAGCAAATGGAACAAAACGGGGATAAACATACCTGAATTTGTCCAATACAAATTTGTCTCTCAACCTGTGTGCACTTACGCTGTAAACTTTAATTCATAGTCTAGGTTGTAGCAACCTCATGATGGTTATAGGGAAAATGTGAGTATCATGTAGTAGCCTAAACCTATCGCTGTTACATTAAACTGGGTGAATGGAATATGAATAACAGTCATCCAATATGCTGTATAGAAATAAGGCCATGCTCATTTTTTAAAATATCGTCCTCCCTCATCTTAAACAGCACTGACTGCCACTGTTGGACATGCCTGTAAACTCCTGCTGCATAACAGTATCAGTGAGACACTGCTCTCTGTCTCCCTCTAGCTGTCCAAGAAGCAGGAGTTCCGCAGTGACACCAATCTGTCTGAACCTGGCTGTCAAAGAAATGTCTTTCTCACCAACGCCAACTCCAGATCTCTGCCTGCTATTACAGGTACAACACACAAACACACACACACACATGCACACACACACACACACACACACACACACACACACACACACACACACACGCACACTCCCTCACACACACACCCTCTCCCTGTCCGCAGGTCTGTCTCTGTCTGTGGCCAATGGTAGTGAGGAAGCGGAGTCAGCCCGGTCCAGAAGGGACAGTAAGAGCATGTCTGTGTGTCTTCCTGGAGACCGCACCGCTGACAGACGCTCCAAAGGGGTCATCAACCTGCTCTTCGGGACCAAGGTACACACACACACACTCAACAACAATTAGGTACATTGTGTGTTCTATCGAAAGGGATGTATGTTTATGTTTGTTCCAACAGAGCATCAAGTCTGAGCAACAGGAAAACAAGTCGTCTACTGATCCAAGCAACAAGAAAGCCAGTCATTTCTAACAGCCATCCATCATACATGATGTACCCTCAGTGCCTTTTAACCTGCTCTGCTTTGAATGCCAGTTAACACCAGGGGCTATTCCCTTGCTAGAAACTCCTCTTTGGAAAGAGCTATCTGATCTGCTCTTTTTTAATAAAGTTTTAAAGACTTGTTTGCGCTCACACAGGCACACGCACACAATGAGTGCGAGATGGAGGGAAATGGAGAGAGAGACAGACAGATTCTCTGAAGAAATTCTGCCGAGTATGCTTTTAAACTTCTGCTCTCATATATTTTATAATAATTTCAAATGAGAACATTTTCATTGACTGTCCTTCTCTAATAATGGTGTTAGCAAGCATTCAATTTATGAAACAATGAATAAAGAAATATCAGAGTCAATTTCCCCACCGATGTTTGACAGAGTTGGTTTTTCACTGCAGTCAATGACCAAAAGCGCCCTCATGGGTGGAATAATATTAAACATTTTCATAATTTCATAATAAAGACAAAAATACAGTGTTTGTATGTCAAACAGTTTTGTTATAACTCAGTCTTCTGTGATGTATATAACATGTAATATTGGGATGGAAACTAAAAATGTAATACATTTCAACTCTATATCTGACAAGGTACAGGTGTCTTCTTTTTTTAAGCCCATAACTATGTGTGTGAGGTGTATACTTTTGTATCAAAGTAGATTTGTTTAAGACTACCAAGATTCACTCTGTGTGACCCTGATTTAGCCCACTGCAGTAGAAGGTTAATGTGACTTTAGAACATAATGGATGAAATAATTGAGGTTATGGATAATGTCCCAAAGCACTTTCATTAAGAGCCAATGGTCAAAAGATCATGCCTTTATTGCAGCAAACAGTAAAACACAATTACAATAGGACTGTCATGTAAATTACATACATAACCAAGATCAAATCCAGAACTATTTAATTCCTTGTAGAAATATAGAAACATAGACCATGGTGTGTTTGTTTGTTCAGTATAAACATTAGCCGTTCGTTACCTTAATTTAAAACATCTGGAATAAACTAGATTAAAAACATTTGATAGGCCACAGATAAACTTGATAACAAAACCTCAACTCTTTTTTTATTCAGTTCTATAAACTGAAATATGTTTGTGTAATTTGATACAACCAAATTTGTCCAAACTTGTTTATCTGCCTATTATATTTCTATAAAAATTAGTTTTCACTACATTCACAGTATTTTACTTACATGATAGTTTCATGTCATCAATTCTCCAGTAGCCTACAGCCACAGTTGTTAACTCCATTTGAATGATTATTTTCCAAATAACATGGCCTATCAGTTCCCTCTGTAATCTGAAGAGGGCAGTGTTGTACTGTGACATCAGAGAGTGTTTCCTATCTGTGGCGACTCAAGAAACAATTTGCAGCACAACATTTCCTCTCAGGTTTAATCCATGTCTCAATAAACAAAGATAATAAGGCTGATGATGAATTTCTCTGTCCTCCTCTCTTCTCTGTTCTCCTTCTCTTTCTTGCTCCCTCTCTGTCTCTCTCTCTGTGGTCTCTCGGAGCTGTCTATCTCTCTGTTCTCTTCTCGAGCGTGCGGCGAGCGCTATAGGGGGGCTGAGACTGGGCTCTCAGCTGCAGAGAGCTGCTCTCGCTAGCCTCGATCCCTCTGCTTCAGCTCTCTCTCTCTCTCTCTCTCACACACACACACACACACACACTCTCACTCTTCCCCCCCCATTCTTCTCTTCCCTGTCTCTCCCCACCTCCCTCCTTTCTCTCTCACTCTGAGACATGAGGACTATCAGAGCACTACAGAGCTGATGTGTGAGGAGCAGGAGAGCTGCTGGGTCATTCCACCAATTACGTGCCTTTGAGCAGTGCAACTAAAAAAATTAAAATAAAAAAAACGTTTTATTTTAACAATCTGTCATAAAGAGCACATGTTCACTTAATAAATAAACATGTTTTCCCATCTCAAGAGGTTAAATAAAAAACACCAGAAAATGGCCAAAAAGAGTAGAACTAGCTCACCTGCTTTTACACTATGATTTGAATATTTGATGTTTAATGTTTCTTTAGATTTTTTTTTATGTGTTAATAGTTTCACCATATTAGGACAAGAGTTTAGTTCACATAACAGGGTTGACCTTAAAACCTCTTAAATGTAACTAAATGTAATTGAAAATGTAATCTACGTAATACCCAAAAGTAATTATATGTCTTGAGAGGGCCATAAACAATAACTAGTAATGCTGTATACTCCAAGAAAGGTTAAAATGTCACCTTTCTGGTAAAAATGATACATTGCTGAGGTGTAGTCACTTTTGAGGACTCAAGTACACAGTAAAAATAGGCAAAGCATCAATACAGGACTAAGATTGAATCCTACTACACCCACTCTGATGCTCGTTGGATGTGGCAGGGCTTGCAAACTATTACGGACTACAAAGGGATACCCAGCCGCGAGCTGCCCAGTGACGCGAGCCTACCAGACGAGCTAAATGCCTTTTATGCTCGCTTCGAGGCAAGCAACACTGAAGCATGCATGAGAGCACCAGCTGTTCCGGACGACTGTGTGATCACGCTCTCCGTAGCCGATGTGAGCAAGACAAAGGAGCTGATCATGGAATACAGGAAAAGGAGGGCTGAACACGCCCCATTCACATTGACAGGGCTTTAAGGTTAGCGGGTCAAGAGTTTCAAGTTCCTTGGTGTCTACATCACCAACAAACTATCATGGTCCAAACACACCAAGACAGTCGTGAAGAGGGCACGACAACACCTTTTCCCCCTCAGGAGACTGAAAAGATTTGGCATGGGTCCCCAGATCCTCCAAAAGTTGTATAGCTGCACCACTGAGAGCATCCTGACCGGTTGCATCACCGCCTGGTATGGCAACTGCTCGGCATCTGGCATCCGACCATAAGGCGCTACAGAGGGTAGTGCGTACGGCCCAGTACATCACTGGGGCCAAGCTTCCTGCCATCCAGGACCTACAGTTGAAGCCAGAAGTTTACATACAGTGGGGGAAAAAAGTATTTAGTCAGCCACCAATTGTGTAGGTTCTCCCACTTAAAAAGATGAGAGAGGCCTGTAATTTTCATCATAGGTACACGTCAACTATGACAGACAAAATGAGAATGTTTTTTCCAGAAAATCATATTGTAGGATTTTTAATGAATTTATTTGCAAATTGTGGTGGAAAATAAGTATTTGGTCAATAACAAAAGTTTCTCAATACTTTGTTATATACCCTTTGTTGGCAATGACACAGGTCAAACGTTTTCTGTAAGTCTTCACAAGGTTTTCACACACTGTTGCTGGTATTTTGGCCCATTCCTCCATGCAGATCTCCTCTAGAGCAGTGATGTTTTGGGGCTGTCGCTGGGCAACACAGACTTTCAACTCCCTCCAAAGATTTTCTATGGGGTTGAGATCTGGAGACTGGCTAGGCCACTCCAGGACCTTGAAATGCTTCTTACGAAGCCACTCCTTCGTTGCCCGGGCGGTGTGTTTGGGATCATTGTCATGCTGAAAGACCCAGCCACGTTTTATCTTCAATGCCCTTGCTGATGGAAGGAGGTTTTCACTCAAAATCTCACGATACATGGCCCCATTCATTCTTTCCTTTACACGGATCAGTCATCCTGGTCCCTTTGCAGAAAAACAGCCCCAAACCATGATGTTTCCACCCCCATGCTTCACAGTAGGTATGGTGTTATTTGGATGCAACTCAGCATTCTTTGTCCTCCAAACACGACGAGTTGAGTTTTTACCAAAAAGTTCTATTTTGGTTTCATCTGACCATATGACATTCTCCAAATCCTCTTCTGTATCATCCAAATGCACTCTAGCAAACTTCAGACGGGCCTGGACATGTACTGGCTTAAGCAGGGGGACACGTCTGGCACTGCAGGATTTGAGTCCCTGGCGGCGTAGTGTGTTACTGATGGTAGGCTTTGTTACTTTGGTCCCAGCTCTCTGCAGGTCATTCACTAGGTCCCCCTGTGTGGTTCTGGGATTTTTGCTCACCGTTCTTGTGATCATTTTGACCCCACGGGGTGAGATCTTGCGTGGAGCCCCAGATCGAGGGAGATTATCAGTGGTCTTGTATGTCTTCCATTTCCTAATAATTGCTCCCACAGTTGATTTCTTCAAACCAAGCTGCTTACCTATTGCAGATTCAGTCTTCCCAGCCTGGTGCAGGTCTACAATTTTGTTTCTGGTGTCCTTTGACAGCTCTTTGGTCTTGGCCATAGTGGAGTTTGGAGTGTGAATGTTTGAGGTTGTGGACAGGTGTCTTTTATACTGATAACAAGTTCAAACAGGTGCCATTAATACAGGTAACGAGTGGAGGACAGAGGAGCCTCTTAAAGAAGAAGTTACAGGTCTGTGAGAGCCAGAAATCTTGCTTGTTTGTAGGTGACCAAATACTTATTTTCCACCATAATTTGCAAATAAATTCATTAAAAATCCTACAATGTGATTTTCTGGATTTATTTTCTCTCAATTTGTCTGTCATAGTTGACGTGCACCTATGATGAAAATTACAGGCCTCTCTCATCTTTTTAAGTGGGAGAACTTGCACAATTGGTGGCTGACTAAATACTTTTTTTCCCCACTGTACACTTAGGTTGGAGTCATTAAAACTTGTTTTCCAACCACTCCACAAATTTCTTGCTAACAAACTATAGTTTTGGCAAGTCGGTTATGCCATCTACTTTGAGCATGACACAAGTAATTTTTCCAACAATTGTTTACAGACAGATTATTTCACTTATAATTCACTGTATCACAATTCCAGTGGGTCAGAAGTTTACCAAAACTTTACCGGCCTGGAAAATTCCAGAACATGATGTCATGGCTTTAGAAGCTTCTGATAGGCTAATTGACATCATTTGAGTCAATTGGAGGTGTACCTGTGGATGTATTTCAAGCCTACCTTCAAACTCGGTACCTCTTTGCTTGACATCGGTGCCTCTTTGCAATGCCATACAACAATCCTTCAGTAGCCTCCAA